ATCTGCACAGCACCTCCCTCGTTTTTTCCTTCACCTCTTCTATGTCATCAAATAGCTGTCTTTTCATGTCCCTCTGAATTCTCAGAAACAAAAAAGAAGTCACACAGAGTGAGGTCAGGTGAGTAAGGTGCTTGGGACAAGAGAGGCATGCTGTTTTTGCCCCCCAAAAAACAGGCACACAGAGATAGCTGTGTTAGCACGTGTATTGTCATGATGGCAAAAGCAACCCACCTTTGCCACAAATTAGGCCTTTTTATCATTGTTAAGCAACTTCTAACAGGTTTTTCAGAACCTCAAAATAGAAAGCTTGATTAACAGTCTGACCTGGTGGAATGAACTCCGAATGCACTATTCCCCTCACATCACATTTGTTTTTTGGGGGGGTACCCCCTCGTATATATTTTAGTATAAAAACCCAACTGACTACCATCTAGTCAATTTTGACTCAGTGACCCTAGGTACAACCCTTTCTGAGGTTGTAAATCCTTATGGGATTGGATATCTTTCTTCCTCAGAACATCTGGTAGGTTTGAACCTACAAACATATGTTTAGTAGTCCAGTACTTACCCAACAGTGTCACTGGGCCTACAAGCAAAAATGTCTGCCCCCACTGCTGTACTTTGTATTCTACACTTGGTTTCTTCACTTAAGTCTTTGGGTTCATTTCATATCAGCACACAGGAGCTTTCTGCGTTTCACAGCTGTTCAGTTTTACTCTGAATGAGTAAACCATATTTTATTTAACTAGTTTCCTGCTAAGGTTTTGCTGTTATAGATATTGCTGCAACCAATAACTTTGTCTGTATGTCATTTCTTAGAGAAGCTAGTGTGTATTTATAGTATGAAGGCCTAGAATTAGGATTGCTGGCTCATTGTCACATGGGTAAATATGCCATATTTCCCCCTTGAAGGTTGTTAATCCGTTTTGTGTTCGTTTTTGTACGTGAAGAGAATAAAGGTTCTTGTTTTATTCTTCTGCATTGGCGAGCCAATTTTTCTAATACCATTTGTTGAAGAGGCTGTCTTTTCCTATTTGATAGTTTTTTATCCTTTGTCAAAGATCTATCGCTAGGTGCATTTATTTTTGGGTTTTCTATTTGGTATCACTGGTTTATGTATCTATCATCGTATGAGGCTGATTGGTACCAGGCTGTTTTGACTACTGTAACTTTATAGTAAGTTTTTAGGTCAGGTAGCTCAAGGCCTCAAACCTGATTCTTCTTTCTAAGAAGTTCTTTCCTTATCCTGGGTCTCTTTCCTCTCCATGTGAAGTTGATAAACAGTTTTTTCCATTTCTTTAATGAATGAAGTTGGGATTTGGATTGGGATGGCATTGTTGCTATAGATTGCTTTAGATAGTATTAACATTTTCATAACATTAAATCTGCCTATCCACGAACACGGGATATTGTTCCATTTTGTAGGTCTTTTTTGGTTTCTTGTAATAATGTTCTATAATTCTCTTTGTACAGATCTTTTGTTTCTTTGGTTAGGTTTATTCTGAAGCACATCTTTTGTGTGGTAATTGTGAATGGTATTGTTAATATCTTTTTTCAGAGCTCTTTTCACTGGTATGCAAAAAACCACTTGATTTCTGCTTGTTAATCTTGTATCCTGCTACTTGTCCAAATCCCTTGATTGTTTCCAATAGTCTTTTGCTTTCTCTATACGTATAAAGAATCACACCATCTGCAAATAATGAGAAGTTCACCTCTTTTCTACAATTTATATTCTCTTGATTTCTTTTTGTTGTCTGATGTTTCTGGCTAAGACTTCCAGAAGAGTGCTGAATAAGAGTGGTAGTGGGGCATCCTTTTCTGGTCCCCATTTTCAGGGAAATGTCTCCGGTGTTTCCCTTTCAAGCATGATGTTTGGTGTTAGTGTTTCCTATAGGCCTTTATTATGTTGAGGAGTCCCCTTTCTTCCTGTCTTGTTGAGTATTTTTATCAAATGGGTGTTGGATAGCATCAAATGCCTTTTCAGCATCTATTGGCATGATTATATGATTCTTGCTCTTTGCCTTGTTTATGTGGTAGATTGCATTGATTATCTTTTTAATTTGTACCATCCTTGCATCCTTGGTGTGATTCTCACTTGGTCATGGTGAATTATTTTTTGACATGGTGCTGGATTTTATCAGACTGAATTTTATTGTGGATTTTTGGATCTGTATTCATGAGGGACATTGGTTTGTAGTTTTCTTTGTGGGGTCTTTGCCTGGTTTTGGTATTAGGGTTATGCTGGCTTCATAGAATGAGTTTGGGAGTTTGTTGGCCTTTTCTATATTCTGGAAGAGTTTGTATAGTATTGGCAACAGGTCTTCTCTGAATACTTGGTAGAATTCACCTGTGAAGCCATCTGGTCCTGGGCTTTTCTTGGTTGAAGTTTCTTGATGACCATCTCTATTCCACCCCCACCCCCACCGCCCATGGGTCTGTTAAGGTCTGTATGTCTGCCTTAATTTGGGTGGATGATGTATCTCTAGGTATTTGTCCATTTCTTTTAGATTATCAAACTTGTTGGAGTACAGTTTTTCATAATAGTGTGGTGTTACTCTTTTTACCTCATTCAGGTCTGTTGTGATGTCACCCTTTTCATATTTTAGGTATTTGCATCTTTTCTTTCTTTCCTTTTAACTTTGCTATTGGTCTATTTTGCTATTGGTCCTTTCAAAGAACCAACTTCTTGTTGATTTTTTCCCCA